TTATGACTATTATTTATAGTTATTATTAAATTCTTATTATTATTACTATTATTTAAAGTTATTATTTTTATTATTAAAATATTATTATTATTATTATTATTATTATTATTATTATTATTATTATTATTATTATTATTATTATTGTTATTGTTATATTATTAGCATTAAATTATTATTATTATTATTATTATTATTATTATTGTTATTATTATTATTATATTCATATTCATATTATTATTATTATTATTGTTATTATTATTATTAAATTATTATTATTATTATTGGTTTGGCCATCTTTAGTCCCAAACTTGGCTAAACAATATTAAAGAAAGTTGGTGGTTTCTCAACTTCCAACTCGAACTCCCTCTTCTCCTATACAATATTAAAGAAAATTTACAAATGTATAGGGGTCGTTTACTTCATTTATCTGTTTTTCCGTTTCCAGTTTTTCATTTCTCCATTTCTCCAGTTTTCTTTCTCCATTTTTTCCAGTTTTCATTCTCCATTTTTTTAGTTTTCCATTTTTCCATTCCTCCATATTTTTATTTCTCTAATTTTCTGATTTTATTAAATACACTCATCCTATATAGCATTTGTACATTTCTACAACAACAACAACAATAATAATAATAATTTAATAATTTAATAATAATAATAATAACAATAAAATAATAGTAATAATAATAACAATAACAATAACAATAACAATAATAATAATAATAATAATAATTTAATAATAACAATAACAACAACAACAACAACAACAACAACAATAATAATAATAATAATAATAATAATAATAATAATAATAATAATAATAATAATAATAATAATAATAATATGAATATGAATATTATAATAATAATAATAACAATAATAATAATAGTAATAATAATAATAATAATAATAATAATAATTTAATGCTAATAATATAATAATAACAATAACAATAATAATAATAATAATAATAATAATAATAATAATAATTTAATAACAACAATAATTTAAAAATAACAATAATAACTTTAAATAATAGTAATAATAATAAGAATTTAATAATAACTATAAATAATAGTAATAATAATACATTTGAAGAGGAGAATATGAAAGAAGGAAAATAATGGAATATGGAAACTTGGGACTAAAGATGGCCAAACCACCAAACTCGAGGGACCTTGGCTGGTATTAACTCTTTTCGTATAAGTCAAATGACAATATTACCCTCCATTTTGACGGCTGAGACGGGAGGAAGTAACGGAAGGACGCTAGAAGGTAACTTTTGACAACTCGGAGGATGACGGATGGTAATTACGAAAGTTAGGGACCATTGATGGCGATGCCACCAAACTCGAGGGACCATAGGTGGTATTTACTCTATATATATATATATATGTATGTATATATATATATGTATGTATATATATATATATATATATATATGTATGTATATATATATATATATGTATGTATATATATATATATATATATATATATATATATATATATATATATATATATATTTATATATATATATATATATATATATTTATATATGTATAGGTTCATGTTCAGGTGCATTTAAGTGTTTCTCGTGCGGTTGTGCGGGTGATTAATGTGCGCGAGTTTTGTACTTAATGTGCGTGCGTCTTGTGCTTAATGTGCTTGAGATTTGTTCTTAATGTGCGTGACATCAAATAGAATAATAGAAAAAAATCTTTAATGGAACAAATGGTTAATGCCCTTCTGATTTATATTACACATTTTGTATGACGTATAAATTGTATTTTTACTATAAAAACATTAGTAGGGGATATAGCTATGTAAAGGTAAACTGTTTATGATTTTTCTGTGTATAATTTTCAATGATTTATGAGTGAATATGTCTATGATTTTTTCATGTCTATGATTCTATGTTCTATTGTTTTTTTTTTAGGCAATGGGGTCTCAAATGAAACTAAAGTTTGAAAAATTTTGGAGGGATCACTAAAAAATGAGCTTCTTGATATTTTATGTCAATATTTTGGATCCCAATGATAAGATTGAGAATATGCCTCACCAATTTGCCCTGTTGTATGTTGAAGAAAAAGCAAATCTTCTTTGCCGAGGTTCAAGGTGCATTGGATGAGCTGTTTAATGACTATGCAGCTACCTACAGTGTCACATCTGTGCGGTCTGCATCCCCTTATTTCGCGATTTGAATCAAAACATGTCCATTCTAATACTACTGTTCGAAAAAATATGTCTAGGTTGAAAGGCCAGCTAAATAACAGAAAATGGAGAGTGGTGGTGGAAGTAGTAAGTAGATTGAACTGCATACTTACTTGAGTGCAAATATAGTGGAAGAGGAAGATGTGACACCCCAAAATTCCACATTCAATCCATGGATTAATTGAGTAATTAATCCTATTTCATTTGAGGAATTAATTCCTAAAATCCTGATTTTTAATACTCAAGGACTAGTATTTGACTAGTCAACCTTTAAGTTGTGTTGTACCTTGTGCTTTGAAGGAAGTTCCCTTGTTCCTTACACTTTCTAAAGGTTAGTAAGGGTATTCTTGACTTTTCACCAAGAGTTTGTATTGTAACCTAACCTAGAAGACTTCTTCATTTCATTCCTTACAATTCTTAGAAATTAGCTCTACCTTCTCACTAGAAAAGAAGTGTAGCTTATTCTCCAAGCCAAGTTAAGACCCTTGTCAAGATTTCAAGTTTTGCTTCCAAGATTCAACCTTTCACCTATTTGGGCATCTAGGATGGTAAGATCTTAGTTTATCTTGTCTTTTTGGTTCCATCTTAGTTGTCTTTTTCTTAAAGGTAAGATCTTTATGATCTTTTGGTTTAATCTTGAAGTGGGTTTGGAAAGTAAGCCTTGTGGGGAGCTTGTTGGGGTGTAAAGTGAAGTCTTTTGGCCTACAAGAGGTAACCCATGCTCTACAAAACCTATTTTGCTTACCTATATGTGATTTCTTGGATTCTACTTGTGTTTTGCTATGAAATGTGAGGGTTTATGCATTTGTCTTGTGATATTGCATATCTAGAGCTTGTGTTTAGGGTTCCTTTGTGCCATTGCTTGACATTTTCCATGGTTCAAGTCATTTTGTTGTGTTGGGTGAGATTTGGCATGTTTTGGACTTGAATTTGTGTTTGGAGAAGAAAATCCCCGAAGGGATTTGTTGTGGAACAGGAATGTTCCCGCGGGCAGAACGGCAGGCGGGGCACCACCCGCCAGCCTACCCGCGGGTACAAAGCCTTGTGGGAATGTGTTCCCGCGAGCGGAACCACGGGTGGGGCACTACCCGTGAGTCCACCTGCGGGTCGAGTGGAGTTGGATCGGGATTTGTTCTCCGTGATTCATTTGCCTCGGTATTTGGTCTTTTGACTTCCCGTTGTTCTTTTGTGGAACTATTTGTGCGTCTTCTTGATGTTTCGTAGGTCTAGAACTATATGGTAGGTATCCATGTAGGACTTTGGTGTCTTGAATCGTGCTAAGTGTTCAACATTGTGTCTCGTTGGACAGAGAGGTGTCTTGTGTGTTCCTCGGAACTATCTTGAGTTTCTCCGTTGTTAAGCATGCTAGTTTATTGTCTTAATGCTAGCGTGTGTGTGTTCTTTGTACCTTCCGTTTGGTGGATGATAACTTGCGTTATTCATCGTTGTTGTCGTTGGGTTGTGACCCGTTCCTTGATTGAGTATGGTTTCATACCTTCGTTATAATCCGTTGATTGACTCGTGTGAATGGTGGTGCGTGTGTGGCTTTACCTGGATTGCACGATTAGTGGTATGGGACGCTAGTCACCAAGGTATTGCAGCGGTCCCCGTGGTGGCCGTGATGTGATTATGGAGATGTGTTCCTTCGAGTAAGGTTCACGTGATTGGGGGATAACATGTGTTATCCGGGCATGTATTTCGTCGTGTACGGTACCTTGTGTACTATGAATTGGTGGTCTTGTTGGTGGTTTGTTGGTGGGGGACGACGGTCCCAGGAGGGAAAAGGTTGGACTAAGAAGTACAGGGGTCCTGGAGGTAATGGTTGGCATGAAGGTACAAGGTTGGGGGTAGTCATAAGGTTGGAACAGGGCATAAGGAAGGCATATCAACTCGTGATGGGTGATGTCACGAGGGCTTGTGTAGCCGTTGTTTTGAGTCCTCTTTCTTGTGACGTGTGTAGTCACAAGGGCATGTGTTGCCATGGGTGAGTCTTATTCCTTTGTGTTGTGGTTAACCTTTGTGGTTTGGGATGTGTTCCCGTGTTATCTTTGAGAGTGATGAGTCTTGTGTTGACGGTTGATCTTGACTTTTGACTTATATACTTTTGTATTCCATTTCGAAAATGGTTTTATGGCTTATATCAATCTATATATGATACTTAACAGTATTGGTGGGTTACCAGCATTATCGCTGACCGGGCGTCGTCCCAATGTTTATCTTTGTATCTTTTAGGTGATGTTTAGACGAGCCGATGTCTAGTGCCTGGTAGCTTAGCACCTTTATCGTTGTTTTTGTGGCCTGTGCACCAATGTAGTTAGACTGATGTTTTGGGATAGATGTATACACTTGCAGATTGTTTGCCGTAGCGTTTACCGTGTTTGGTAGACGTGGCGTTACACCCCGTTGGATTTCTTTTATCCAGTTCTCGTTTTATCTTCTGCTGTGCTAGTTTTGTTGTTTAATCTGCATGTGTTAGGGCTTTTATTTGGGCCTTGTTTGGGGGGTGTTACAGAAGAACCTGCAGAATTTGACGTGCTTAGGCAGTGGAAGGTGAATAGTGAGATATTTCCTATTCTCACAAAAATGGTAAGGGATCTGCTAGTTGTATCCATATCCACAGTTGCCTCTAAGAGTGCATTCAGTACTAGTGGTGGGGTATTAGATACCTTTAGGTGTTTCTTAACACCTAAAATTGTGGAGGCCCAATCTATGCACAAGATTGGTTGAGGGCACCTAATCACACAATCTCTGTTGACGAAAACTTGGATGAGCATGAAAGATTAGAAAATGGTATAATTTATAACTTTATCCCGTGAAAAATTATATTGTTTACATCACAAGAATGAAACAGAGTAAAGTGAGAGATATTATTATAATTTCTCTAGTACGTAATGTCCACATATGTTTATTTACAACACTCCCCCGAAACATAACTACATCATACTCATGCCTTGCTTAAACCTCACTAAATAAGCTCCAACGAAAACCTAGTTGTGGAAAAATTAAAGTACAAGATATATCTTTATTCGTGTTGCACCAAAGCAAAATCAGAGTGGCGCAGTGGAAGCGTGGTGGGCCCATAACCCACAGGTCCCAAGATCGAAACCTGGCTCTAATAATAGTGTGTTGACATTTTTGAAATACTTTTCCTTTCTTTGCATGTGAAAGGCATACGGATTAATTCCTTGCATATCTAATACGTTTAACGTTTAATTTTAATAGTAGAAAGATTTATTATTGAGTAAATTCGATCATGTAAATTATTAAACATCGAGAGAGTACTAGTTCACGGGTAATATTTGGACACCCAACTCGTGTAATTTTTTAAAAACCCGTCAGATATATAATTTACTGAATTTAAATTTACTAATTTCATTTAATTCCTTCAAGTTTCTAATGACAACTACAGTACATCAATTCTACAAACATAAATATAAAATAGAACATATAAATTTTCAATTTTGTATATAAAACAATTACACATAAGAAAAATACAAATTGACATCAAATAGAATAATAGAAAAAATCTTTAATGGACCAAATGGTTAATGCCCTTCTGATTTATATTACACGTTTTGTATTACATATAGATTGTATTTTGACTATAAAAACATTAGTAGTGGATATAGGGGTGTAAATGAGCCGAGCAGATCGCGAGTCGTTTGCGAGCTGCTCGGTCAAAGCTCGGCTCGAGCTCGGTCAAAATCGAGCTCGAGCCGAGCTCGAGCGGCTCATTTAGTAATCGAGCTCGAGCCGAGCTTAGAAATTCTAGGCTCGTGGTTCGTCGAGCCGCTCGCGAGCCATATAATATATAATATATATAACACATAATATAATATAATATAATAATAATATTTAAAAATAACAATTAGAAATTAAAATTTTAAACTCAAAATCCCTAAAAGATTTCTATTATTTATGTATGGATAAAACAAAGTAGTTCGAATTTTAACTCAAAAGTATTAAATATGTCAAATTCAATGTCAAAATCGAGCTCGAACTCGAGCTCAAGATCGAGCTCGAGTTCGAACTCAAACAATCGAGCTACTCGAAGCGAGCTCGAGCAGCCCGAAAATTACCGAGCTCAAGCTCGAGCATCAGTTCTTGAGCTCGAGCTTGAACTCGAGCCGAGCCTCCATGAACGAGCTCGAGCTCGAGCCTACCCAAGCTCGAGCTCGGCTCGGCTCGTTTACACCCCTAAGTGGATATAGCTATGTAAAGGTAAACTGTTTATTATTTTTCTGTGTATAATTTTCAAAGATTTATGAGTTAATATGTCTATGATTTTTAGGTGTCTATGATTCTATGTTACATTTTTTTTTTAGGCAAGGGGGTCTCTAATGAAACTAAAGTTTGTAAAATTTTGGAGGGATCAAGAAAAAATGAGTTTCTTGATATTTAATGTCAATATTTTGGATCCCAATGAAAAGATTGAGAATATGCATCACCAATTTGTCCGGTTGTATGTTGAAGAAAAAGCAAATCTTACTTTGCAAAGGTTCAAGGTGCATTGGATGAGCTGTTTAATGACTATGCAGCTACCTACAGTGTCACCTCTGTGCGGTCTGCATCCCCTTATTTTGCAATTTGAATCAAAACATGTCCATTCTGAAGCTACAGTTCGAAAAACTTTGTCTTGGTTGAAAGGCCAGCTAAATAACAAAAAATGGAGAGTGGTGGTGGAAGCTGTAAGTAGATTGAACTGCATACTTATTTGAGTGCAAATATAGTGGAAGAGGAAGAAATTGCAGAATTTGATGTGCTTAGGCGGTGGAAGGTGAATAGTGAGATATTTCATATTCTCACAAAAATGGTTAGGGATCTACTAGTTGTATCCATATCCACAGTTGTCTCAAAGAGTGCATTTAGTACTAGTGGTAGGGTATTAGATGCCATTAGGTATTACTTAACACCTATAATTGTGGAAGCCCAGTCTATGCACAAGATTGGTTGAGTGCACCTAATCACAAAATCTCTTTTGAGGAAAACTTGGATGAGGTTGAAAGATTAGAAAAGGGTACAATTTCTAACTTTATCCCGTGAAAAATTATATTGTTTACATCACAAGAATGCAATAGAGTAAAGTGAGAGATATTATTATAATTTCTCTAGTACGTAATGTCCACATATGTTTATTTACAACACTCCCCCGAAACATAGCTTCATCATACTCATGCCTTGTTTAAACCTCACTAAATAAGCTTCGGCGAAAACCTAGTTGTGGAAAAATTATAGTACAAGATATATCTTTATTCTTGTTACATTTTTTGAAATACTTTTCCTAATTTATATATAAATTGTATTTTGTATAATAGTAGGGGATGTAGCTCAAATGTTAGAGTGCTTTCTTTGCATGTGAAAGGCATAGGGATTAATTCCTAGCATATCTAATTCGTTTAATTCTAATAGTAGAAAGATTTATTATTGAATAAATTCGATCACGTAAATGATTAAACTTCACGAGAGTTCTAGTTCACGGGTAATATTTGGACACCCTACTAGTGTAATTTTTTAATAACCCGCCAGATATATAATTTTCTGAATTTAAATTTACTAATTTCATTTAATTCCTTCAAGTTTCAAATGACAGCTACAGTTCATCAAATCTACAAACATAAATATAAAATAGAACATATAAATTTTCAGTTTCGTATATAAAACAATTACACATAAGAAAAATACAAATTGACATCAAATAGAATAATAGAAAAAATCTTTAATTGACCAAATGGTTAATGCCCTTCTGATTTATATTACACGTTTTGTATTACATATAGATTGTATTTTGACTATAAAAACATTAGTAGGGGAGTTAGCTATGTAAAGGTAAACTGTTTATGATTTTTCTGTGTATAATTTTCAAAGATTTATGAGTGAATATGTCTATGATTTTTTCGTGTCTATGATTCTATGTTCTATTTATTATTATTATTATTATTATTTTTTTTTCTTTTTTTTTTTAGGTAAGGGGGTCTCAAATGAAACTAAAGTTTGAAAAATTTTGGAGGGATCCAGAAAAAATGAGTTTCTTGATATTTTATGTCAATATTTTGGATCCCAATGATAAGATTGAGAATATGCCTCACTAATTTGCCTTGTTGTATGTTGAAGAAAAAGCAAATCTTACTTTGCAAAGGTTCAAGGTGCATTGGATGAGCTGTTTAATGACTATGCAGCTACCTACAGTTTCACCTCTGTGCGGTCTTCATCCCCTTATTTCGCAATTTGATTCAAAATAAGTCCATTTTGAAACTACAGTTCGAAAAACATTGTCTTGGTTGAAAGGCCAGCTAAATAACAGAAAATGGAGAGTGGTGGTGGAAGGAGTAAGTAGACTGAACTGCATAATTACTTAAGTGCAAATATAGTGGAAGAGGAAGAAACTGCTGAATTTGATGTGCTTAGGCGGTGGAAGGTGAATAGTGAGATATTTCCTATTCTCACAAAAATGGTAAGGGATCTACTAGTTGTATCCATATCCACAGTTGCTCTAAGAGTGCATTTAGTACTAGTGGTAGGGTATTAGATGCCTTAAGGTGTTTCTTAACACCTAAAATTGTGGAAGCCTACGCACAAGATTGGTTGAGGGCACCTAATCACACAATCTCTGTTGAGGAAAACTTGGATGAGGTTGAAAGAAAAGAAAAGGGTACAATTTCTAACTTTATCCCGTGAAAAATTATATTGTTTACATCACAAGAATGCAACAGAGTAAAGTGAGAATGAGAGTTGAATTATCTGAACAGTTAAAACTGAATGAGAATAAATCAGAGATAAAAGATAACTTGACGTGAAACTCTTCTATCTAATAGAGACTCAGGTCAATTAAATCTAAACCACACAAATAAAGAAATATAAAACTATATACTATAACATTTATTAACACACCCCCTCAAGCTCAAGGGTGGTGCGAGATGACATTGAGCTTGTCGTGAAGAAGCGTGATCCTGGGTCCCGTGAGTGGTTTAGTAAAGATATCTGCAAGCTGGTCCTTCGTAGAGACAAAGTTGACGATGAAGTCTCCAGAGGAAACCTTATCCCGGACAATGTGATAATCAATCTCGACGTGTTTGGTCCTTGCATGAAACACAGGATTGGCACATAGATAAGTTGCCCCAAGGTTGTCACACCAAAGAGTAGCTGGCTCGGAAGAGTGAAGTCCTAGTTCACGAAGTTGTGACACAACCCAAGTAACCTCCGCAGAAACATCAGCAAGGGCTTTGTACTAAGCTTCTGTAGATGATCGAGCTACCGTTTGTTGCTTTCTGGATAACCAAGATATTAGGTTAGAACCAAGAAACACTGCATATCCACTGGTGCTCTTCCTGTCAATCGGGCAACCTGCATAGTCAGAGTCTGAGAAAGCATGTATGGCTGTTGACGTTGATGAAGTAATACGCAAGCCATAACTGATAGTGCCTTTTATGTAGCGTAACACCCGTTTTGCCATGCCCCAATGCTCATCTGTCGGTGAATGCATAAACTGACACAGGCGATTCACAGCGTAGGACAAATCCGGGCGTGTGATCGTTAAGTACTGCAGTGTCCCAACAATACGCCGGTAGTGTGTTGGGTTGTCATAAGAAGTTGCTGTTGAGACGGCTGATGTTGTGACTGATGCCGGTATGGTGAGGGATTTGCAGTCAAGCATCCCAGCACGGTTCAGTAGGTCTGTCATGTACCGCCGTTGAGAGAGAATGAACCCACTATCTATAGATATGGTCTTGATTCCCAAAAAGAAGTCCGGTTTGACCAAGTCTCGGATTTTAAAGGTAGATGCTAGACGCTGTAGTAAGGTATTGA